GTCAATCTAGGAACTTTTATAAGTGTAAACATGCTCAGTAATAAATGGCAAAGACAGTTTTCAGAACAGATTTTATACTTTGACAATTGCTGAGGGTAACTTCAGCAGAACAGCATGCTCAATAAAAGAACAACTGTTAATTTCACTAGCACACTGACATTTAAAACAGTTCCTCCATAATATTTCTAGGCAAATTAGTTTTGATTTATTTCAGAAATATTATCATACTCAATATAGGTCACATCTGCAAACTTAATTTTTCCCTATGTGTTGAATGTGGACAAATGTCAGAAAGAAAAAACACCCCAGAACATGACCTTTAAGGAAGATGCTAACGGCATAAACCAGTCCTTACCCAGGAAATAGATAATAAATTAAAGATACCATAAAACACCAGCTTTGCAAGCAACATGTCAGCAGTCTTTTCCTAAGAAATCAGAACCATTGGTTTGAGTTCATTACATAGCTTCCAAAGGCAAACAGAAGCTAAATGGTGACACTGAGGTGTAATATTTCAGAAAAGATGTTCATAGAACTGTGATAAATCAATAATCGTGTTTCAAGTTCCTGAGACAGTATTAAAATGTCTTAACCTAATACCAACAAAATAAAATTTAACTATATATATTTTCATAATTATTAAATTGTCCAAGTACAATGTAAGTACTTCAGGTAGCCTGTCCCTGGGGATTACAGACCGTTATGGATTATCTAAGAGACTAATTTTAAGTTTTAGGTATTGTGCTCTAGGCATATAAACACAGAGCATATGCTTAATGCTTTATCAATCGCCAGACTGATTTCCTTGCAAAAGACTTTTCTAAGTCTTTACACTGTGTAACTATCCAATATGTCAGACTTTGTCTTTCCTTTTGTCACTGCTTGACAAATAATTCTGGAGTCACTAGGAAGTTGCTGTGAACTTAAAAGCAAAGGGTTACAACTGCTCTGTGTCTAAGAAAGACATCAACATGCTCTCTACAAAGCTTCATTAGGCACTACAGTCCAACATTATTAATAAAAAGCAAAGTGTTTTTAAAAGCAAAATTATTTTTTCCCTTAAATATAATTTCACAATTCACTGAAGTTTTCTAAGGCAGAATAAATTGAAGTTCCTGACTGGGAAGAAAGGGAAACCAAGCAGGGCTTCCTACCCTGTGGAAAAAATGCACATTTCCATTCCAGGTCATAGTGAGCACACTAAAGACATTTTTTGCAAAGCAATTCAAAAGCGCGCTGGAAGAAAAGAAAGCTGGTAAGACAGTTCGTCCTAGAGGAAATGCTGTAGAGAGGGACGTCTCACTGGAATCATCTTCCCTTACCGGTCAGACCCTGCTGTTTGTCCACACAAAAGGCTGCGGAGTCCTCCAAACAGATTCGAGTTCTTCCTTCAGCTCGTGCTTCAGATCCAAATGATTTCTGATCTCCTAAAGCCAAGGATAAGGGTGAGAGGGTGAAAGAACCAGACAGTCCTGCATGCCGCCCTGTCCCCTTTTATCCTCCTGTCTAACGGGAGGATCCCCAGCAGGATCCCCTTAATGCCGCCCACCCTTCAAAACAGACCTCCCCGCAGACTTCAGCAGCGTGGACCATTCTCCCCTCTTTCCATTTTTCCTCAGCTAGCAACAAAAAAACTCTCTTCCCCCCCAATCAATCCTACAATGTTAATAGTATTCAACCCTAGAGAAAAAAAAAAAAGAAGGTACAATGTGGTATCAAAAAGCTGAGGTCGCTGCTCAGTTCCCATGTTAAGAGCAATTTTATATCCTCTGACAAGTAAAGAATCCCAAAGACAATTTGTAAAAATAAAACATAGCTTTCACGGTCTACAGCTAAACAGAAACACTCCAGTTACAACCTGCACATGTAACTCCCACAGACCTATTCTTTGTAATGGAACATATCCTTAGATATGTAAATAAAGGTTATTTTAATATCTAGCACACACTTGAATTGTGCCCCACTTAATTACTACCCTTTTTACCTTTTGAAGAAATTTAATACAAGCGGTGCCAGAGATACAATGTATATAATAAGCGTTATTATATACAGTGGAAAATTTTATTTTCCGCTGGTTCCTACACCATACTCTTCAACAGCCTAATCCTTTCATGATAGTATCTGAAGTCATTTGGTTGACATTTGGCAAGCTTGCAATGCTACCACTCTTTACTGAAAACAAAATTAATGTATCCCAACATAGCACTGAGCAGTATCTGCGTGTCTTAAAGTCAGGCAATGAGAAATAAAAAAAATACATTGATAGAAACACAAGCCATTCCTTCCACACCACTAAAACACTTTTTAAAGGAAATCTGCAAAGTTTGTTTAAAACTTCTATGGAATTAATGGCTTGGTACCATTGGACAGATGTTGTACTTGAACCTCCCATTTTAAGGAGACATGCCTGCTACAACAGTCTTAAGCATCACTTACCAAGTATCTGTAGACTCCCTGCCTTAGATTTGCAAACTCACGGTTCCACATTTTCTACCTGTGACTGAAGAGCAAACCACTACAAGGAAAGAAGAGTCCTATTTCTTATAAGACGAAACAAGGATAAAATTTCTCTCTCTTTTGCAACAGTTTTTGGAATTTTTTCTTATAGTCAGGAGGCTATGACAATCTGAGTCAGAAACAGAACTCCTGTAGTCCTGAAACGTCTCTCTGCTGCATGACTGGCCAGAAGAAGGTAATTTAAACTTGCATTCATTCCAGCGGGTCAATTTGTATTGCAATTATTTGACCAAACTGTTTTCTTAGGTGATGAAGTGTATATGCAGCAGAGAAAGACAATATACACGGAAACTTCCAATATCAAAATCTGACTTTTACAGAAAGTGAATTTGAAATTAAAATAATGTAGAAAACCATTACCTAATGAATAGAAAATCTCTCTGAAACAATGTATTTTAGTGTTGTTTATTCACCAAGACAGCATCGTAACAGGATGAGCAGTCAGAGTACAATAGTGCAATACACGGAAACTTCCAATATCAAAATCTGACTTTTACAGAAAGTGAATTTGAAATTAAAATAATGTAGAAAACCATTACCTAATGAATAGAAAATCTCTCTGAAACAATGTATTTTAGTGTTGTTTATTCACCAAGACAGCACACAGGCAAAGTCGTAACAGGATGAGCAGTCAGAGTACCATAGTGCAAGCTGTAAAACGAAGCAGATTGCACTACATGGCTGTCGCTTCCTTTCAGACCTCAATGCCACCATTTCTCTGGCTGGATATGCAGCATGCTCAACCATACCCCATCAAGTACCACTAATAAAAAACACAAGGTTTTTTTTTGTCTGTTTGTTTTTTAATAATAGATGCTGCTGTTCAGGAAGGAAACAAATTTTTAGTTGTCTTCCATCTACTGGGCCTTTAGTTCGTGCACCTGGGTCCTCCTTTCCAGGCTGAGGATGAGAACTGTTTCTCGGTTTGGGGTTTCTTTAGCTGAAGTTGCCATTCCCGACAGCCAGACGATGCCATGCACGGAGGCCGTAGGAAAACCCACCAGGCGTTACTCGCCGCAAGGCAGCGGAGGCCGGGAGCTCTGGGTCGCAGCGGGCCTGGCACTGCCTTTCTGGGTGAGCCCAACAAACGCCAGCACACCCTGCTGCTAGTGCAGCTGCTCAGAGGCACTCCCAGCATTTTGAAAACCGTGTTATGGGCAGGGACAAGAACGCTGTGAAAGACCAAGTCTTTGTCAGGGTAAGCACTGCACACAAGCTGTTTCACAAGCCCGTTAAGAGGCAGGGGAACTTGTCATCTACTAAGGTGGAATTCACTCAGGAGAACGAAGGCTACAAAGCAGTTAAGGTCTCCGTGTGTAAGTGCACATATAAAAAAAAAAGAATAATAAAAGTCGTGCCTCCCATACAGCCTCGCCGAGGGCCGTTGCCACGCCAACCCCGGCGCCATGTTGGACGCCGCTGGACTCCCCACC